GATTTCAAATCATGTTTTTTTCTGCAATGACTGTGGAGTTCCATTCTTGGCATCTACTTTGGACCAAGGAGCATCCCTAATTCTTCATAGGGACTCTTAAAAAGCAGGAAATACCAACTGAAGTCAATTTGGGGGACATGCTAAATAACTATATAAGACATTAAGAGAACAAAGAGTGAAATATTGTAAATGCTATTATACTGTTATCCATATTACGTTGTTTCTTATAGATTTTTTAAGAAAAATGTGAAATTTTTCCACACTATGTGTGTTGTTTCCATAGCTCTTCACTTCCTCCAGAAGCCTCCTTACATTAAAAAGCCTTACAGTTATCCTGCAAGGGACAGGAAGGTCTGATTTGCAGGATTTTTAGAGCATTAAAATCACTATCAGGCAGAAGAATCTTTCTTCTCGCCTAGGATTTCAGCCATGCGCGTTCTCTCTCTCTCTCTCTCTCTCTCTCTCTCTCTCTCTCTCTCTCTCTCTCCCTCTCCCTCTCCCTCTCCCTCTCCCTCTCTCTCCTTCTCTCTAGCCTGGGGCTTGAATTTGCATGTCTAATTCATTTACTCACCATATTTGAATTGGCCTGAACAGATGTAAATCGGAAAGGATGGGAAAAACTGCAGTCATCAACAATGATTAATCAGCTGTTGCAGGCAGTGTCTTAAGGAGACTGGTAGGAGGAGGCATGGAAACCGAAAGGCCGTGTGTTTAGAAGCCTAATTGTCACATCAAGCATCATTGTCCCCATGCAACAACCACCACCTTATACATCACTTCCTGTTTTATGCAGCTCAAAAACATAGACTGAAGATTTATTTTTAATATGTTGACTTTATTTCTGAGCAAAGCATCGGTCATGTGTGTATTTTTCCATAGTCCCACCCTGGAGCATTTATGTAGACATTGTAAATAAATTTTGTGCAAAAAGGACTGGAAAAATGAACTGTATTATTGCAATTTTTTTTGTAAAAGTAGCAGTTTGGTATGAGTTGGCATGCATACAAGATTTACTAAGTGGGATAAGCTAATTATACTTTTTGTTGTGGATAAACAAATGCTTGTTGATAGCTTTTTTCTATCAAGAAACCAAGGAGCTAATTATTAATAACAATCATTGCACACTGAGTCTTAGCGTTTCTGACGGAAACAGTTTGGATTGTATAATAACGCCAAGCCCAGTTGTAGTCGTCTGAGTGCAGTAATGAAATCTGAATCTAAAATAAAAACAAGATTATTTTTGTCATGCTGACTCCACTGCTTGAAAAATGTGTTTACTGCCCCCCCCCCAAAAAAAAATTTTTGATGATCAATGCAGTAAATATAAAAATTAATTTTGGCTCCCTAAGATATATACGTATTTGAAAAATTTTAATTACAAAGTAAATTATTTAATAATAGTTACTGATTTCTTTAAGCTGATTTAATGAACTCCTAATATCAGCAAATTTAAGGCCTAAGGGCACTAACCTAACGTAGACTCAGAGTACAAGCAACAGAATTACTCATCTACTATCAGTGAAATTATTCTTGCACATAATGGAAAACCAAGTACAGAGTTAAGTCTTTTACTAAGGACGTTACCTAGGATGAGCAGTAGATGTTTATTAGGAAATTAACGATGTGAATTGAAGAGGCCAGACTTCAAAATCTAATTTTTATAAATATGCTCTATGTTCTCATCGGATAAAACTGGTTATTAACCAATTTTCTAGAACAGCTGTACAGAATTTCTGCATGGCAGCCAGCTAAATGGTACAAAATAACATGTTTAAGCTGGAATAGCTTATAATTTTATTTAAATAAAATTGCTGCTATAAAAGTGCTTCCCAAAGCTAAGGAAAATGCACAAATATTTTAATTAAGGCAAATTCGTTTTTAAAAATCAGCCTTTAAGCAGTGATTGCTTTGTAAACAAAGGATGGGTTGGAGGAGAGCGCCTTAAACTCAAGTCTGACATTCAGGCCCGTGCCACTCTATAAACCCGCCCTGAACAATTCTATTTTCTATTTGAAAAGGGAAACCAGCTGTGGGTTGGCTTTACTAGGTGACGTGTGATTGACTGACTCACCTGCGGGAGCAGCAGTGCGCACTCTCACCTTTTGTTTATGGGGCCTTGTGTCTAAACACGTGGGCGCGCGGATGGAGAGTCTGACTCAGCCTTCACAGCGCCCCCCGCTCCTCCCCGCGCAGCGCCCTCCACGCCACCCCGCCCCCACCCCATATATGGAATTGTTTAAATTTCCCCTTTGGGCCCGGTGGCAATTCTTCTACATAAATAGTCCGTATTAGTGAAATACTTCTCTTTTGATAGGTGGTTACTAGCCGTTAACAACCATTTATTTACTTTAAAAATTAATAACAAACTTTATAAACTAACCATCCATGTGCCCCTCCTCCCCAGTACATGCCTGGGTAAGTTGGTTATTTTCTGCCTTTATTCTGGAGGAAGCTCTTGCCGGGTGGGGGAGGGAAAGGAACGGGAGGAGGTAGGGAGGGA